ACAACGATGATAGGAAAAAACCTTCCTTCTGCCAACAAACCATATCTGCTTGAACTCTTCCTTCCATGTGATCCAGTGGAAAATCACCCTACTATGGCTGACAGCCTGCAGGCCAATGTGAGAGGGTCCTTTGGGAGCAACTCCCAGACCTCAGGGAAAATCCCAGGGCTGTGCCCAACTCTGCAAGTTACTAGTTGCTGGAACAGCTCTCCTCCCCACGGAGAAGCTGGTAGTTGGGGACAAGCAATGTTTGTGTTCTCTGCCAGAGTGTCACAGATGTAACCTGAGGCACATGTGATGTCCGCCATAAACGTGCAGGTTTATCCATGCAAAGCTTGATTTTCTGAGGTTATCTGGCTCATTCTGGATATGATGTCTGCAATTCAGCTAAGCTCCCATGGGCAACAAATGGTCTAGATCAGGGGTTAGCAAATTCTTTCTGTCAAGGGAAAACATAGTAAATATTTTCAGCTTTGTAGGACACAACAATTTCTCTTGCAAATGCTCAATTCTTTCAATCTGCACAAAAGTGGCTATCAGCAATACATAAAAGAATGAGCGTAGGTGTGTTGAAATTAATTTTATTTAGAAAAACAAGCAGTGAGCTAGCTTTAGCTGGTGGGCCACAGTTTGCCAACCCCTGCTCTAGAGGAGTTGTCTTAAATGTTTTTTGATTGTACATGCTGTCAGTATAAACAAAACCAAACAACACACGAACACACATACAAACCCACAACGCATTTAAGTACATACCCCAATACTGTAGATGTTTATTTATGTATAAATTACACACAAGAACAAATATGCTAATAATATACTGTTTTCATTATAAAACATACACAAAAATGGAACCTTTAAAAAATGAGATATAGATGAGTAATGCTTTCAAGTGTAAATTTAATTGTTGTGACTTCATACTCTCATTGCCCAAGATCTAAAACACGATATACACAGAGAGCTAGGTTCACAGTCAATGGCAGTGGCTTTAAATCCGTAATTTGAATAGTCTTCTTGATAACTTAAAACACAATTTTGGGTTTTTATTTGACCTAAATAGATCTTTGTTTTTGTCTTATAGTGTCACTAGCAAAGAATTCAACTATTTATTATAATATTATAACAAACTTATATTATTTGCTCTACATTAGGCACAGTCCTAAGAGTTTCAAAAATATTAACTTATGTTACATGAGGAATGGCCTCATGTCCTGTCATATTATACTAAGTCCCCAATAAAATACTGACCTCGTTTATAGTAATAAACATAATAAAGACTAATCTATATTAACTATGATTAGCATTATATTAAAATAAGCTTAACTACAAAGGTACAGTCAGATGCTATTACACTAATCTTCAGCTGTTATTGATCATTGTGTTAACTTAATACCCTGCTCCTCTCTTCTGGACTTAGTGAGGAAATAATCTTCAAAGCCCTGGACTTGAGCACAGGGCAGCAGAGCATCTTGTTGTGAAACGGCCCACCCAGCAGTGTTGCTCCTACTTTGGATCTCTCGGTTTGCGGGCTGGTACTGAACACTCTCTACAGCAGCGGTTCTCACACTCGCCTGCACATCAGAATCACGTGGTGGGCTTGTTATAACACAGATGGCTTAGGACCCTGGCCCAGAGTTTCCTATGGGATTTCTGACATGCTCCCAGGTGATGGTGCCACTGCTGGTCCAGGGGCCACACTTTGAGAACCTCTGCTCCAGATAACTATCTGGTCCTATTCTTTCCAGGAAGTAGAAATGGGCGTTTTGATGTTTACGTGGTTTTTGATTCCATGTGACTTTGTTTTTACCCACCAATTTTGATCCCCCATCCACCCCCATGCTTCAGATGGACCACTTGGAGCTCATCCTGCTGTCAGCCTTCATCCTGTGCCGATGCTGGCTCAGTCTGTGCTCAGCAACTACCCACTACCAAATCTATCCTCAGCAGTAATTCTTGGCCTGTTGTAGGACAGAGGCTGATGCACTTATGAGAGGAATCACACAAGGTTGTACCCGTTTCCTTCTTTTCACTCTATATTCTTTCTCTGTCCAATTTCATATAGTCACTCCCATGTTTCAGCTATCACCTTAAGGTGATGATTCTTAACCTTGCACCCAGAGCTCTGACCACTCTCCTGAGCTCCACACCTACACATCTCAACTGCCCACTGTGGACATCTCTACCTTGATGGGCCATAGGTATCTGAAACATAATGTTATGGGTTGAATTGAGTTCCTCAAAAATATATATTGAAGCCTGAGCAACATAGCAAGACTCATCTCTACAAGAAATAAAAAAATCAGCCATGTGTGGTGGTATGTACCTGTAGTCCCAGCTACTTAGGTGGCTGAGGCAGGAGGCTCACTTGAGCCCAGGAGTTGGAGGTTGCAGCAAGCTATGATGATGCCATTGTACTCCAGCCTGGGTGACAGGGTGAGACCTTGTCTCAAAAAAAAAAAAAAAAAAGATGTCGAAGTCCTAACCCCCAGTGCCTATGAATGTCACCTTACTTGGAAATAGGATTGACACAGATGTACTTTAAGATGAGGTCATACCGGAGTAGGGTGGCCCTTAATCTAAACTGACGGGTGTCTTTATAAGAGAAGAGACACGCATATGGAGAAGATGGCTACGTGATGATGGAGGCAAAGATTGGAGTGATGAAACTATGAGCCAAGGACTACTCAGGATTGCCAGCAAACACCAGAAGATAGAAGAGGTGAGGAAAAATTCTCCCCTGCAGGTTTCAGAGGAAGCAGGGCCCTGCTGACATTTTGATTCTAGACTTCTACACTCAAGAACTACAAGACAATACATTTCTGTGGTTTTAATCCACGTAGTTTGTGGTATTTGTTACAGCAGCCCTAGGAAACTAACATGCTCATCACGTCCAGAACTGATCTGAACAACCCCTTTCCTCACCAATAACCCTAAATTGTTTCTTCTCCAAAGTTCTTTGTTCAAATAATAGCATTACAGTCTACAGTTTTCTCAATCAGACAAGCTAGAAACTTGGATTCATTTTATACTCTTCTTTGTACTTTACACGCTATAAGCCACCAAATTGTTAACTCTATCTCCTATCCAACTTTCCCTTTAACAACGTTCCCTTGATCATTGCAATAACTTCCAAAGCTTTTCTTCTCCTTTTTTTTTCTTTGCCTTTCTTGTATTTCCAATTAATTCTTAATATTTGCTACAACGATATGTCCACTGAAAGGACGGTAGGAGCTAAATAAGTCAGCTCTGCTCCCTCTCCATCCAGCTAACAGGTGCCCTGTGGAGCTCTGAACATCTCAAAGGAGCCCAGCAGACAAAAAGAAATGTAAATTTTTTTACAGTGCTAGACCTATTGACTAAAGCTGCCTTTTAGCATCTGTTTCTACAGCCTGGAGTAGTTCCTGAGAAGTTCCTGGAAAACAGCATGGGGGACGATCTCCAGACATACCTTGAGGGCAAGGTCACTTTATCCCTAAAGCAAAGGGGACCCATGCAGCAGTTTCACACAGCAGATTCCATTATCTGCTTGCAGTTAAGAGTAAGAGAAGCAGCTGATATGGCAACTCACAACAATTAACTATTTTTCTCTTCCTCCCCATAAAAGCAGCCAGCCACTTGGCCTAGCTGCTGGCATCGCCCTTCTCTTTCTTTGGGATGCCACACCGTCTCTCTGCTCTCTTCCCCTCCCCTCCCTTATTCTCTCTGTCCTTCTAAAGGGTAAAATAAATTTTACTTTTGTATCTTAATCTCTGCATGAGAAATCTTTCTCTACCCACGCCGTGAGCACCTACCACCAGCCTTTCCGCCCTAACGTCTACAGTGTTAAAGTACTTACAATAATAATAGCTACCCTTTACTGAGAGCTTACTTTGTGGCTGAAAATATGCTAAGTTCTTTCACATGTATTTGATCTTCGCAACAATTTTAGGCAGTAACTACTATTAATTATTTTCATGTTATGAATCAAAAAACTTGTGCCCAAGTTCACAAGTTGTGAGCTACCAAATGTCAGAGTTGGGATTGGAAGTCTTATTCACTCTTGTCATATTCTTTGTAGCACATCCTGTCACCTCCATGAAATACAAAGTACTGGCACGGCACTCAGGACAACCCTAAGCTATGCTTCCAGCCTTGTTATCCTACACCTTCCTTCACACCCTCTGTTCTTGGCACTTGAGTGTAAGGTTTTTGGATGGTCGGTGCCAGAGAAAGAAAGATGAGCTGAGTATAAAGTTTTTCTAGCGGCGAGGAGAGAGAAAGACAGAGTGAGGGGAGGGGGGCAAACAACGTGGCTTTATTGAGCGCTCCCGGGCGAGGTTCACGAGGTCCCGAGAAGTGGGGCCTGAGAAGTCGCGCCGCTCGGAAGTCTTGAGTGGGCTTATATACGTTTTAGAGTTGGGGTATGGGGGTTTTTTGGTGTGGAGAGTTTTTTGTTCCAGTTTTTGGGCGGGTCTTGTGGGCTTTTCTTTTTTTTTCTTTAGGGAGGGGAGGGGTGTCGCCACCAGCCTTACAGTGAGAATACCCATCATTCCCTGCACATGCGGGCTCACTTTCCCGCCCTGTGGCTTTGGATGTGTAGTTCCTTCAATCCAGAAAGCCAGCAAGTTTTTACTGCCTGAACCCCTTCATATACTTCAATGCCAGGCTTCCCTACCCTCTTTCGCCAGCACCCCAAGTCAGAATGATCTTTTCCTTCCTTCTTGAGAATTGAGGCCATTCCACCTTGCTTTAATAGCTAGTCGTTTGCACATTTATTTCTACCATTGTCTTACCAGCTCTTTAATTCAAGGGCCATCGTTTAATTTTGTCACTTAGTTTCTTCCCGCCTTTTATAACAATGCCTCAATAAATGGTTGTTGATTTGAATTGCTAATAACAGTGATAGTAATTGCGATAATAATGCCAGCAAGCCTTTGCTAGGCATTCGTACTTAACAGTTTCAGTAATATTTGAAAAATAAACTTTTTTATTTAAAAACATTGTGTCAGTTTTTCTTTTCCCACAACTGAAAGGAAATTTCTTAATTTATTTACAAATTTTGATGTAATACAAGAAGTTTCCTTTGAAATATCTATCCATTGCCATTCAATTTGATGCTTCTGTGTGGTGGAAACTCATTTATTGTGTGGTAACATCCAAATCTGTTCATTATTCTTTAGAAATAAAATGCTCGCTCTCTATGAGAAGGGAAGTCAAAAAA